GCATCACTGCTGCTTTTCCCATGTTACATGTAAATCTACGGAATTCTGTGTCTGGAATTTGGCTGTGCAGCACTGATGTAGTTCTGTTCTGCTGTTGTGATAATACTCTGGATCTCATCTGTGTAGCAGCCCCAGCTGAGTAATGGTCAACTCAAGGCCTGATGATCCATTAAGATTTATTGCCTCCAGTTCCATGAATTCACTGTAAGAGCTAGAATAAAACAACAGAAAGCAAAGGAGTTTGTAACCATCAGTTTCACAATCGGCAAAAAATGAGATATTTTGGAAAAGCATGTTTCATTTCTTGAGACTTATCATAAAACACAAGCGAGACGTTGCATTTGTATTAAAGACAGTTCACAGTCTCCTAAATAAGATAAACTTAATACCACCCAGCGCTGCTTAATGCCACAAAACACAACACATCTAACACAATTCACAGACTAAACAACAGAAACAGAAACCAATACAACAGTTTGACTTTTGAGTATTTAAAAAATTAAGAAACACTAAGGCTGGGAATTCACGAGAAAACAGGCTTAATGCCGATTTATGCGTCTGCGTTGATTTGGTAAATTGAGGATGCATTTTGTTTGTTCCAACTCAAACCTCAAAAAATAGTGATAAAAGTTGTCACAGCAAGAAGGGCCTGGGTTCGATTCCCCAGCCGGGTGACCAGGGTCTTTTCTGTGTGGCTGTGCATGTTGTCCTCGTGTCTACATGGGTTTCCTCTGGGCATTCTGGTCCAAAGTCAGGCTGACTGGACACTGGGTGTGTGTGTGTCTGTGTCTGTCTGCCCTGTAATGGACTGGCAGCCTGTCCAGGGTGTTTCCTGCCTTCCACCCAGTGACTGCTGGGAGCGGCCCAGAGGGATAAGCGGCTTAGGTAACGTGTGTGTGGTTGTACCTGTAAGTTGGGGAACTGGGAGGGCAGGAATGTTTCTTTATTTTATGCTGACCAGACCAGGTCAAAACAGTATGTCTTTAACATATTCATCATGCTTGCTGTAATCTCAGCTAGTAATGGAGTAATATGGTTGAAACAAAATGGTTAAATTCTTGAAACACCTTATAGAAAATTATCCAATCAGGATTTCTTTCTCTGTGGTATCTTGGTAGATGCAGCTAAGTGAGCTCTCCCATTGGTTAGGACTTCAGGAGCTGGACTAGATTAACTACCAACATAACACTGTTGTTGGAAACCTCATATCTCCAAAAAGGTAACTTTACAGGAGAAGGAAAAAACATACGTTACTTTTAATGTAAGTCAATGGAACCAGAGTTTTTTCTATATCATTTTAGGCCGTTTCTTTTAGTCCAATCATCATGAAATTTACTTATAACATAAAGGGTAACAGGCATTTTCAAATTATGTAAAAAACTGAAAAACATCAAAAATGGAGATACGAGGTTTTCTTCCAACAACAACGATAATTAGAAAGTGACAGAGGAATCAACAAATCATGCTTTGATTTGCAATGAGCGGTAAAAAGGTCACTTTAGTCTTTCTGGAGGTTCTAGAAACTTCAAATGTCTGTGTTTAATCTAGAATGGCCAAAAAATTTTCATTTTGAGAGCTAACATACCATTAGGAAACCATAGGGGTGCTAGTAGAAGATTATATCTAATGTAGCAGCCTTTTTTTCTTGTTTTTGACCAAGTTTTAAAATTAATGACCCAAAATGAACACCTAGCTCTAATACTGACTGTTCACCACTGACACACAGACTGACTTTCATAAGAACATGATCAGTCTGGATCAGCGGTTCCCTCATCTGTTTATCTTTATCATCATCTGTTCCTTGTTACTGTATCTTTATGCTTCTCATCTGTTTGTCTTCTCATGTCAGCTCCGTCACTGAATATGCATTCTTTCTTCTTTCTTTCGCACGCGTATATACACACGCAAGTACCTCCTCTACGGTGTATGGTCCCATATGGACGTCCATGTGTCCCTCTCATGTTAACGCAGCCCCTGTAGAGCTCCCATACACCCTCACTGAGGAGAACAGAGAGCGAGTTTAATCCTCCCACACATCAGCCTTACGCTATCAGCTGGAGGAGCAGACCAGCCAGAGTGGGCAACAGTCCAACTGACCACACAGCACAAAGCTCAGCCTGTGTGTGCTACTCACACACGCACACACACACACACACACACACACACACACACACACACACACACACTCACACACACACGTATACAGAAATTTTATTGTTCTTTGAAAAATAAATTTGTTGCCAAAAACATGTTCCAAAAAAGTTGGGACGGGGGCCTGTTCACCACTGTGTTTCATCACCTCTTCTTTAACAACACTCTGTAAGCGTTTGGGAACTGAGGAGACACTGCTGTAGTTTAGAAAGTGAAATGTTTTCTCATTTTTGTTTCATACAGGATTTCAGCTGCTCAACAATTTGGGGGCTTATTTGTCATATGATTCATTTCATATTGTGCCAAATGTTATCAGTGGTGACAGGTCTGGACAGCAGGCAGGTCAGTTTAGCACCCAGACTCTTTTAATACGGAGCAATGCTGTTGTAATACACGCAGAATGTGGTTTGACATTGTCTTACTGAAATAATCAAGGCCTTCTCTGAAAAAGACGTCGTCTGGATGGCAGCTTATGTTGCCAAAACATGTATATATCGTTCAGCATTAATGCCGCCTTCACAGATGTTCGCATCACCCATGCCATGTGCACAATAACAAGCTGAGTGGTCTTTAGCCCGGAGGACACAGTGTCCATGATTTCCAAAAAGAATTTCAAATGTTGATTTGTTGGACCACAGGAAACTTTTCCACTTCCTCTCAGTCCATTTTAAATGAGCTCAGGCCCAGAGAAGGTGGCAGCATTTCTGGATCCAGTTTATGTACAGTTTCTTCCTTGTGTTTTAGAGTTTTAGTTTGCATTTGTGGATGCAGCAACAGACAGAAAAGCAAAAGTTCTTTGCTATGTTATGTTTAGAAACGTTCTTCTTGAATTGTTGCACTATTTGATGGTGCAGTCTTTCACAGAGTGGTGAACTCCTCCTCATCTTTACTTCTGAAAGACTCCGCCTCTCTGAGAGGCTCTTTTATACCCAATCATGTTACTGACCTGTGGCCAATTAACCACCAGGTGTTTTTTTTAGCATTACACAACTTTACCAGCCTTTTGGTGCCCCCGTCCCAACTTCTTTGGATGTTGTTTTGGATTTGGGTTACATATATATATATATATATATATATATATATATATATATATATATATATATATATATATAAAAGAACATATAGATAAACGTACAAATACATTTGCATACTATATATGTAATATGCATACTATATAATTATCACATCTAGTCTTTAACGTAATATGCATAATGTATATGGGATTGTTATTATTACATATAGGTACATGCAGGTTTTGCATATATATCATCACATATATTATTCCATATAAGTACTTGTAAATGTGTGTATGTGTGTGTGTACCAGACGACTAATCACACAGCACTGCTGTTTACTCTGTCCTTTTCAGTTCTCACTCTTGGGAAAGTCTGAGCTTTCAGGTTCTTCTGTGCTTCAAGGTCTTTGAACTGAGGCCACAGATGAATGAAATGATAAAAGAAGGTCATGCTTTGTGTTCAGAACACAATGGAACTCCACACACTGGCTAAAGCAGAGCTTCTGATCTGTTTCAGACCTTCAGCCCTGTAACCCTGCAGAGAACCAGCCAGGTGATCAGGTACCGGAAATCTGAGCCATATCTATCAGATCTGAGCGCATGTTTATCAGCTTCAGGGTTACGTTTCTGATTACGTTCCCTCTCCAGATACAGAACAAAGAAAACCTGGCTAAGAGGACTCAGACTTCAGTGAAGAACCTCAGCTCCTGTGTTACACCGAGGTGGACAGTAAAACTGACCTAAAGTCAGATCTTGTTGTGTCTATCTTGTTGTGAGTTTGGGCACCAATAAAGGAAAAGTCTTCCTCTCATCTGTGGGCCTTGGAAGTTCTCAGCAAGCCCAGAGAACATCGAGCCAACGTTCCTCAACAGAGACGAACAAACCCAAGCCAGTGAGGGCTGGAGTCTCTAGAAGGTTCTCCTACATTCATACCTGCTCATTTAGGATGTTATTCTTGGAACATTTTAAAGCCAAATGTGTTTGATGGAGAATTCGGGTGTTTTTTGAAGAATGTTGCTGTTTGGTAGGAGAATGTGTGGAGAATTGGTAGGACAGTGATGGTGTTTGATGGACAATGTTGGAGAATGATGGATAGAGAATTTTGCTGTTTGATGGAGAGTGATGGTGTTTGATGGAGAATGATGGTGTTTGGTGGAGAATGATGGTGTTTGATGGCGAATGATGGTGTTTGGTGGAGAATGATGGCATTTGTTGGGGTATGATAGTGTTTGGTGGAGAATGATGGTGTTTGTTGAAGAATGATGGATGGAGAATGATGGTGTTTGAAAGAAAATGATGGTATTTGAAGTAGAATACTGGTGTTTTGTGGGGTATGATGGTGTTTGGTGGAGAATGATGATAAAGGGCAGAGCAGGGAGAGAGCTTCACTTCCAACACACACCTGGACTCACATTCTACTGTCACTACACCTGGATGAGAGAGAGAGAGAGAGAGAGAGAGAGAGAGAGACAGACAGAAAGAGAGAGAGAGACTTCCCTTCTCTCTCTCTCTGTCCTCCTTTCTCTCTCTATCCTCCCCTTCTCTCTCTACCCTTCTCTTTTTTCTCTCTCTATCCTCCTCTCCTCTCTCTACCCTTCTCTTTTTTCTCTCTCTATCCTCCCCTTCTCTCCACCCTTCCTCTCTCTCTCTCTCGTTTCCTTCTCTCTCTCTCTCTCTCTCTCTCTCTCCTCCCCTTCTCTCTGCCTCCCTCTTCTATCTGTCTTGTTCTCTCTCTTTCTCTCCGTTATCAATAAGGACATCAGCTCCTTTTTACTGCCAACACTACTCCTTCACTGACCAGATAAAGCATTTCTTCTGTAAGAGAGAGAGAGAGAGAGAGAGAGAGAGAGAGAGAGAGAGAGAGAGAGGTGTGGGGCTAATGCCTTTAGCTCCTCTGAACAATGAATGGAAAAACTGCTGTCCGTCTCGAACTGTACACCTCCTCTAGGCGGATGACGTCATCCATGAACCGCGTAAACTCCGGTTTGTCACTAAACGGTTGTGTGTGTGTGTGTGTGTGTATGTGTGTGCGTGCTCGCGCATGAGCCTAGGCGGCGCTAGGACCACGCGGGCACTTAACCGGCAAGGCAGCACCGGCAGACAAAGGCACGGAGAGCAGGCTCGCGCTCCTGCAGCATCCACACCCACCCTCACACACTCACACACACTCACACTCACTCAGTCAGTCAGTCACACACGCTCCGCGTGCAACAGCGCTGGGGTAAGTACCGCACCCGGGGCACTCCGTACAGGAACGGGGGTGAAAAAGGGGGAAAGACAGGAGGCGCGCGCTCGAATCTCAGTAACGCTATTTTTGGTGAATGTTACCTGCTGAAGGTGTTGGGGTGTTGGGGTTGTGGTGGGAGGGGTGGGGATGGGGGGCGGGGGGGCTTTATTACAGCGCGAGACCCGCAGGTGGGAGCGATTCCACTAAAACATTCACTGTATTCATTCATCCCTGACTTCTTTAATGCATTTAAAAGTCTTTTTTAACAGACATTAAATCGAATTTTGACAGTATGAAAGTTTTATTTTCCATCCTCTGCAGCTCGAAATAACGCAAACAGCGCATCTGAATCTGATTAAAACGTTTAAATCGGCTTCTAAAGTTTGTATCCGCTCGCGTTTGGGTTTAAATTGACAGAGTGGGGATTTTTGCTGGGGCGTGTGTGCGCGCGCGCTTGCTTGTGTGTGCGCGTGCCAGCCCCAGCCTCTCAATTGCTGTAGTGCAGCTCGCGCCGGTGCTGTACAATGGAACGAACGCGATTTGAATTCGAACTGAGGAGGGAGTAACGGTCATAACGGCCATAACGGTCGTTAACGGCTTTTTAACCGTCATTTCTGTCAGATTTCCTTTAAAAAGGGGCGTTTTTGCTGTAGAAAAGTGTGAATTTGATGGTGTTTTGGTTAAATATCGATTCATTTGAGGAGCCAAAGAGTTTAAAACGCTCTGCTGAGGTAAACTGAGGGCGGTGGGGTCATTTTACAGCTAAACTGTGTGGCCACCTCATTGTAAAGGTGAAGGCCTGCTGGGGGGAGAGGCTACTGAAGATGTTTCTGGACTTATGACACAATAATATATATATATATATATATATATATATATATATATATATATATATACATATATATCCCTTCAAAAGAGCCCAAAGCTGATCTGGCTGCTGAGGTTAAAGGTCACTGCAGTGTTTCTTCATCCTGATCTCCATCTGCTTCATCTGTATCGATACGCTCGATTAGCTCAGACCATCATCTCAACACGCCTCCCTGAACTTAGAGGAGACCACAGACTCACCCACTCTGAGCTCACTTAGAGTAGAAGTCAATGGGCAGATGCTTTAAAGGGAGAGTTGGGTTTGGTGCAGCACATTGACAGAAGACCTTGGAAATACCATAAACACACACTAGTGTGTGTGTGTGTGTGTGTGTGTGTGTGTGTGTGTGTGTTAGCATAGTAACCTGAGCAGCACTGTTGCTAGTAATGGTGTTAGCTGCTGGTGGGAGTGCGCTAGCAGTGAGAGTGATGGACTGGAACCAGTGGCGTGTGACACCAGGAAACATGCTGAGACAATAGACCTCCTGGATGACGTAGTAGTGGGGGGCTGGTGTGTGTGTGTGTGTGTGTGTGTGTGTGATTTAGCACTGTCCATTAGCTGAGCAGATGGGTGTATGGCCGGCCCCTCTGTCAGCTGTGAGGCAGCAAGGCTAATTCCCTGCTCAGCGTCACTGGATGCCACTCATTGGGCGTGGGAGGGGTGCCGGGGGTTGGAGTGGGTGGGGAGGGTTCATGTAAGGCGAGTCATGACTACCAAGGCACTGTCTGCCATAAACGTTTATAATCCCATATGGATGTGTGGCCATATATACACATATCATAACAGGTCAGGCAAGAATTTTTCAGTTTTTGACATCATTATAAAGTGTCTGTTGCTCTTTACATTGTGTGTAAATTTCATGATAAACAGACCAAAAGAAACGGCCCAAAATGACTTGGAAAGATGTCTGGTTCCATTGACTTACATTAAAAGTGAAGTATGTTTTTTCCTTCTCCTGTAAAGTTACCATGTTGGAGATACAAGGTTTCGTTCCGACAACAGAGATATGTGTAACTTTCATTAATTTCATGTTTTAATGCTTTTACTGCATAGCTTATAATCTGCATGTATCAAGAGTTATGTAGCTATTATGCTTACATACCTTTAATGTAAGTCAATGGAACCAGAATTTTTTCCTAGTAATTTAATTTTCGGGCCGTTTCTTTTGGTCATGAAATGTACACACAATGTAAAGAACAACAGGTACTTTCAAATTATGTCAGAACAACAGCAACAGAAGTATGTTTAACCTTCAATAATTTCATGTTTTAATAGTTTATAATGTGCATGTATTTAGAGTTATGTAGCTATTATACTAATGTTCACTTCACTGGGACGTATGTGGAAAAAACAAAGAATGAATATTATGTAAATTGCAGTTTTTTTATGAGTAATTTATGAGTAATATATGCCATCTGTCACTATCTATAATTATAATGTCTTCTATCATATATTGTTCATTATATGAGTTACATGTCGCTGCTGTCAGAACAAAACCTGGTATCTCCAAAATGGTAACTTTACAGGAGAAGGAAAAAACATACTCTACTTTTAATGTAAGTCAATGGAACCAGATTTTTTTCCAAGTAATTTTGGGCTGTTTGTTTTGGTCCATTCATCATGAAATTTACACACAATGTAAAGAGCAGCAGACATTTTCAAATTATGTCAAAAACTGAAAAATGTAAAAAATTGAGATACGAGGTTTTGTCCTGACAGCAGTGATATATGTTTGTAGCCTATATGTTGATGTGTTGATTTGAAAATGGCCAATTATAAATAAGTTGGCATACATGTATCATATATATGTCACATAAGTTGGATGAAAGGTAAATCATAATATGATAATATGAGTCACTAATTTGAAACCCATATGTTGCCATATATCAGGTTTCTATATGGGATGTATGTGTAGTATTTATAGGTGAATACTAGCATTAGCGCTAGCTTTAGGCTTTCTAAATGACCAAAAGCTGATAAAGTTTAGGGGCGTTTAGCATAAACACATACCACACGGGCGGCGCCCCAGTACGATACCCTGAAATGACTTATGTTTGTGTATAAGCAGGTTGATCATTTTCTGAAGTAATCAAACACATTTAGTGGTGTTGAGGTCTGGACTCTGGGGTGGTCAGTCCATTGTTCAGCTTCTTTGTTTGATGTGTCCGTCTCCTTTTCTCAGTGAGGTTCTTCTTGACAGCTACACATCCTTTCAGACCCACAGCGCTGAGTCGTCTTCCCACAGTGGAAGGATGGACAGAAACACCTGTGGATGTTTTCAGATCTGAAGCAGCTTGATTTTCTCCTCTCTCTCAAAGATGAAAGCTTTAAGTGCTGTTTATCTGACGGGGGCAGTTTTGGGGTCGACCAGCTCTTCCAGGTGGTTGTTAGGAGACACATTTTCTCTGGAGCTTTTAATCAGTTTTTGAACTGATTTTGGAAACATTTAGCTTCTTTCATCTCCTTTTTAGGCAAGTGGATTGTCTAATATACACTTTAGAAAAAGATGGTTCTTCAAGAGATGGTTCTTTCCATTTGCATGCTTAAAGGGTTTTTGCATGGTGAAGTGGTTCTTCAGTCTGATGGAAAATGTACTGTAGATGGTTCTGCATAGAACTTTTTTGAAAAGGGTTCTTTATGGCACCAAAAAGTTCTTCTATTTTTACGACATCAAGCTTGTAACAACAGAACCATTTTTGGTGCGATATAGAACCCTTTTCGAAAAGATTCTATATAGAACCATCTACAGCAGATTCTCCATCAGTCTGTTGAACCCTTTCATGATGCAGTGTTCAGTGTTCTATATAGAAGCATTTTTTTTTTTTACAAAAGAACCCTTGAAGAACCATCTTTAATGAAGAACCATCTTTAAGTGTGAAGGTTGACATTGTAACTATAGAAAAACCCTTTTTTGGTGCTATACAGAACCCTTTCCAAAAAGGTCCTATGCAGAACCATATACAACACGTTGTCCCTCAGTCTGACTGTTCAATGTTCTATATAGAACAATTATTTATTTTTTTTTTTTACTAAAGAACCCTTGAAGAACCATCTTTAATAAAGGACCATCTTTTCTTAAGTGTGACATAGTAACTGTAGAACTATGCAGAACCGTATACAACACATTCTCCATCAATCTGAGCTTTAAGTTTAAAGGCTGTTTATCTGATAGGGGCAGTTTAGGTGTCTACCAGGTCTTCCAGGTGGTTGTTAGGAGCCACATTTTCTCTGTAGCTTTTAATCTCCCTTTCAATCACTTATTTTCCTTCGACTTTCTCTTTCCTCATGCAAGTGGATTATCTCATATCTAATCTCACAAATATTTCCAGAAAAAGGAAATTAAGTAAGCGAAGGGGGTCTCTTACTTTTGCACAGTGCAGTGTGTGCACGTGTTTGACTTCAGGCTAGCTGGCTTTTGTTGTCTCAGTGCTCGGTGTCATTTTCAGGTGTTAGTATACAGTTCTGTGAGTCATAGCGTAGCTTTGTCATGCTAGCGTGTGTGTGAGTGTGTGTGAGTGTGTGTGTGACTGTGTGTGTGAGTGTGTGAGTGTGTGTGTGTATGTGTGTGAATGTGTGTGTGTGAGTGTGTGTGTGTGTGTGTGACTGTGTGTGTGAGTGTGTGTGTGTGTGTGTGTGACTGTGTGTGTGTGTGTGTGTGACTGTGTGTGTGAGTGTGTGTGTGTGTGTGTGTGTGTGTGAGTGTGTGTGTGTGTGTGTGACTGTGTGTGTGAGTGTGTGTGTGTGTGTGTGTGACTGTGTGTGTGTGTGTGTGTGTGTGTGTGTGTGTGTGTGAGTGTGTGTGTGTGATGCTGTGGGGAAGGATCCAGTCTTTAATTGGAAAAGCTGCTGCAATCCCTGCAGGCAGTCTAGCTGGACGCTGGCCCGGGCATAAATGCCACACGCTGCCCTGTCCAAACGCCACCACCACCGCTAATGCTAACCGCTAACTGCTAATCAGCCACACAGGCAGACAAAGTCACAGCTAGCCGCCGCGAGCCGCTAGCGCCAGCGCTTTCAGACTCACGCAGGCTCTCCAAGGTCGAACTGGTAGCCTTTATTTTGGTAAAATTCCTCGGATGAACAGAGAAAAGGTATCAGGAGGAGGTTTTCATCTCGGCGAAACGCG